ATCCAAAAAAAAAAACAAAAAATTTTTTGGAGGGCCCAAATGCCCGAGTTTTATGTAACGCTATGGAACTTGCCCGAGTTATCTCAGGTTTTAAAGATTGCAGCATTACTTCTTGCCGCCTGCAGATTGCTGAATATGGATGACCAATCACAGCCAACGAGATCAACAATGCAGTTAAGGAGACAAATTCCCTGACTTTTTGACAATTTATGACAAATTCCCTGACTTTTTCCAAACACTAATGAAAATCCCTGACTTTCCAGGTGCGTAGGAACCCTGTATATATTTACTGTCAATAAAAAATGTATCTGCTTTTCATAATTAAGAACCATTGCCAAAAATATAAGAATCTAAGAAGGCCATATTGTATGGTATGATATCTGTATGGGTATGCACAATGTAGCAATGTGTCAGGTTGAGTTAATGTTTATTTTTGGCTACTTGCTACTTTTTGAGCTACAAATGAAAATCTGTTATTTTTCTAAATCAGTTACAAGTTTGGGAAATATATTGAAGGAGTCCAGCCGCATTCAGGTCATCTTCTGCATTTTATTGCATTAATTACTTTTTTCATTGTTTTTAATCTAGTATTACTATTATTTTCATTGTTTTATGCATTAATTAGGATGTTTACTTCTGTTATTTTAAATTAAATTATGATTTTTTAAAATAAACATTTTTTGGGTTTGAGAATAAATTAATTCACTTTACATTGCTTTGAAACTTGCTATTTTGTTAGTAAGGTTGTCTATAAAAGAAACCAAACTTTTGATCTAGGAAGAAAAACAACAAAAAATATTTTTATAAATATGTTTATTTATTAGAAATAAGATCCCTCTGCAGCAATATGATGTTCAGAACAAGTGATAATTTCAAAATATATTTTCAGCTCGTTTTGGTACCTGGTTCACTACTGCAATCACAGCAGCCTCAATCTCAGGGATGTTCTTGTAAAGAGTCTCTTTCATTGGAATTTTATGTTTTGGAAACAGAAAATGGTCACAGGAAGCCAGATTGAGAGAATAGGGTGAGGGTCTAGTGCAAGAGTGGCTAACCTTTCTTACAGACGTGTCCATAAGTAGGCATAAATTTTTTGATGGGCCACTGTCCTATGACCTCCTACATCCACTTTAAATTAGTAGTAAAAGATAAATTTAATGACATTAAAAGTAAACAAGGACAATAAAAAATTAAAATATGTTGTTAGATGGATGTAAAAACAAATATTAAATAATCCACTAGCATTAGTTTGAAAGTAACCTTTTTATTGAAAAAAGAAAAAAAAAAAAAAAAAAACGTGAAATTCTAATTAAAAAACAAAGAATCAATGTGGTTTCTGAACTTGCTTTTCAGTTAACAGTTTCTCAATGTTAGGATTGATTTTTGAGGTTGATAACAGGCGGGCCTTGTGTTGGCCACCTCTGATGTCGCTTAACGGTTCTGATGAAACCGTTCTGTCCGAACAGTTTCTCACTCAGATCATTTCCAACAGATTCAGTTCCGCTGCCGGAACTGGTGTTAATTTACACAACTTTCGCCAATTTCTCAAGCGTCTAGAACCTGAGCGAGCATTAGTTCTAAATTATGATGCTTTCGGAGAACAGCCGATGCCTAAAGTAGTTCTAAAATAGCTAAAGTGTCCAATCATGCTGATTTTAGAGATTGTATTCTGATTTCAAATATGTACTGAATTTTAAAGTCGCACTGATTAAGAAAAAGAATTTCCGAATAGTTCTCCTAGCAAACATTACTTCCCCTCCACTTATACTTGGCTGAGTGTGAGGAGGTTTTAGTCTTGAACCCTGTCTCTTCTCTATAACTATCTTAAGTATCCTTTCCAAAATACAGTCGGCCCCCCTATAACACTGTTGATAATTTCGTTTTATATGAATTCCATGTTGTATGAGTCACTTAGATTTTACAAATACGTAAGCCGTTCACAGCCCGGCACACGTATTTGTAAAATGTAAGTGACTCGTACAACATGGAATTTATATAATACGGAATTATCAACAGAGTTATAGGGGGGGTCGACTGTAATGTTGTCTAGATAATATTATGGTTGCGTAGGTCATGTGAGTAATGAATTTATAATTATCTCTTTCTGCCCTGTGGTTACTAAGAGGGTCTTTTCTAGCAAACGCATTATGGGTTCAGCCAGGCCTACAATGGGCGGCAGGGTGGTGAGAGAGGGGAACGATATATCCGTCCGGATCACTTCCTCCCGAAAAATCCCTGTTCCTTCAGAGCGATAGGATGCCACATTAACCATTCAGCCATTCGGTCGGAGCTGAATTATTTATGAAAAAACATGAGGGTCTAAGCAGGATTTATATTTTGCTGTTCTCTGCACATAATTTAAAAAATCCAGTAACGAGTTACTTAACTTTTCCGGCAACATTTTAAATTGCGTATTTGGAGCCATCTGTTATAATATTTTAGTTTTTTGGCTGATGCCATACTTTCTGTTATATATAACAGAGCCGTGAAAGTAAAAAAAATAATAATAATAATTATTCACTATTTCAAAGTTATGCAAGTTATTTAAAAGAANAACATTTTCTATTGAAAAAAGAACAAAAAACTTGAAATTCAAATTAAAAAACAAAAAATCCAAATTTAAAATTTGCTCAATGTGGTTTCTGAACTTATTTTTCAGTTAACAGTTTCTCATTATTAGGATTAAGAACAGGTGGGTCATTCCAAATGCAGCTGTGGGTTGGCCACCTCTGGTCTAGAGTTACGATACCTTTTCAAGCCAAAGACTGACTAACGGCAGTGCAATTATGCAAGGATGCATTGTTGTGCAGTAGTGTCCATCTTCCTTGAGCACAATACTCCAGTCATAAACATAAAATTTGGTTCCAAAGACATTCCAAAACACACAAATAATAAAAAAAGCAATAAAACTTCACTGTGCGCAGCATTATTAAGCATTTTCCATTCGAGTGCTTTCGATGAATGAAAGTGCTCGAATGGGAAACGCTTAATAATGCTGCACACAGTGAGTTTTACTGCTTTTTATTATTATTTGGCGTGAACAAATAATATTCTCTGGTAACATTATGGCCATTTAGGACAAATTCTTTGTGCACTACACCCTTGGAATCCTAACAGACGAGCATGGTCTTAACCTGCAATTTTTGGAAACAAAGTTTTTTCGGTATGGGCTCATCCGATCATTTCCATACAGAACTTTAATGTTTTGTAAAAGGGTCATTATGGTAACACCATATCTCATCACTTGTGACAATATGTTTGAGAAAATTTGGATTGCGGTGATCATTCTGATGACGTCCGAGCATGATGAACACATGCCTGTTTCTGTTCCTTAGTGAGCAAGTGTGGAACAAAGTGGGAACAGACCTTACATTTGTTCAAATGATTATATAAAATTATGTGGACAGAGTCCTTTGACACTCCCAACTTGTCTGACAACATCCTACAGGTCACATTTGGATCCTTTCCTAATACCTGATGCACTTTATCAATGTTACTGTCCATAGTCAATGTCTTCAAATAACCACTTTTCAGATCATTTTGCCATCTGTGAATCAACTAAACCAGTCAAACTTGTGTTTGGCATAGACAAATTATCCTCATATACTTGTTTCAGTAACTTAAACATTTTCATAAAAGTTTCCTTTAGTTTTATGCAGAACTTAATGTTGACATGTTGCTCCATTGCAATTTTCTGATGAGGGTCACAGAATAGCCTTTACATTTCGTGCCACAAAGGATTGTTATGAACAGATTCAAATGCTATTGCACATGAGTGCTAATATAATGTTCAGAATTTTGATTTTGACCATTAATACTAGTTGCACCATTCAGTCATATTTCTAGAGCAAAAGTTTGGTTTCTTTTTAGACAACCTGTGTATTACTATTAATAAATTTGCATCAGATAATTTTAGAAATTACTTGGGAAATTTGAATAAACCTCAAATATTTATAATTTCTTTGTTAAGCTATCTAAAAAATGGCAAAACCAATGTCTATAAGGTTAAAATTACTATTGCATTGATAAATTAGTTTGTTAAAATAGTGTTTGATTGTGTAGTAATAATATTATTATTATTAACTGTTTATTTTTTTCTTTATACTACTCTTTAAGCCTCCTTCGTAACAGGATATTTATCCCCTTCTACACAATCAAGATTGATTAATTGAAAAATAACATTATAAAATCAAAGTTTTATGATAATTACAGATAAAATATGACAATTTTTTTAAAATTAATTGTCATAAGAAGTCTGAGTAAATTCCTTTAAAAAATATTTATAATATCTGTTGAGTGTCATGCATCATCCAACTATAAACTGAATTTAAAATACTCTATTCTCTTCTTGTTGACAAAAAATCCTTCCACAACTCCTCTCAGATAATGCAAAACCTCAGTTAAATAAGTCTTAAGAGATTATAGTAATGTCTTGATTAATCATTTTATGAATTTAAAAAATATCATGATTTACTTACTCTGTAATATACTGCTACATGACCTGTAAAACAATTATATATATAAATTATTTTTTCTTACTAGAGAAAACTAAAATATAGTCATTTATATAGATAAATTTTGAAACTGAATTTTCAAATATTCTGTAAACTTATATATTAGTTTAATTTTGATTATGCAGATGAAATATCCATATATACAGAATCTGAAAACAAATAGTGTCTTGATGTTAAAATCATAAGTTAAAAAATTACACCTTTGTCAATCCAGCAAAAATTTAATATAATAAAAACATTTTCAAATCGTTTTAAACTATCTTCATCAGTTAAGAAAAATAGAACGTAAAATAACTACGGAATAAATATAAAAATTAACGGAAGATGTCAGATGTCCTAGCGGACTAAATACAGATAAATAAAAATATCATAAATAAGGTCAAAATACCGAAAAAGTATAAATATAATATATATATAACAACCCCCTAGAATTATTAATTATTGTAAAATGATCTCCAAGCGGTAGGTAGTGCATCCGCATCTCTGTGGTTTATACAACCAGTTCTCAAGTGCACCTTGTATATTTCCAATTTCTCAAGATGTTTCATTGTGTGTATTCGTCATAGCTTTGATAATAGCTGCCTGATCCCATTGGACATTAACATCCTGTTGTCTTGCATATGTCACTAGTACAGTGCTGTCAAGGTTCTTATTGATTGTATACCTGTGCTACTACCTACTGTTTGGAGATCATTTTACAATAATTAATAATTCTAGGACATTGTTATATATTATATTTATACTTTTTCAGTATTTTGACCTTATTTATGATATTAGTATTTATCTGTATTTAGTCTGCTAGGACATCTTCCATTAATTTTTATATTTATTCTGTAGTTATTTTATGTTCTATTTTAAAATTCTATTTTTCTGTAACTGATGATGATTGTTTAAAACAAATGAAAACATTTTTATTATATTAAATTTTTCCTGGATTGACAAAGATGTAATTTTTTAACTTATTCTCTATCCAGTATATAGTTGGTTATAGGCTTATCAATGGCCATGCCAGCCAAACCCTATAGAAGAATAGTCCAAGTTATGCAAAGCAAGGGCTAAGTTTGAATTTCTCACTCAGTGCTGTCTTAATGGTGCCTTTCCAATGTCCATTCATTGGATACGCTTGTCCACAGGGTGTGATTCTTTATTACCAAAACTCAAGCAACTATGTCTCACTAGGGCCATCAAGAACACAAGGAGATGAGCATATGCTTTATTATACAAGCTTATAGAAATGGAAGATGAGCTTTATGAAAAAGATCCTAAAATGTTGGCATTTGTCAATGCAAGGGTAATTAATTTATCACAAGGTTATGAAAAAAAGATTAAAGTGCTTTTACATCAAAAAACTTAGATGAATTTTCCATTGCCAAAATATTAGACCACATAAAATGGGAGGCTCACATATCACGGCATGGGATGACATCATATCTCCTCAATGCATTTGAATGCTCTAAGGTAGAGACCTCTCTCTGCTCCTGCCCCTTTACCACAACCAGAGACCCTCATACTGGATATTGAAATGATCATTAAGGGCATGAATAATACCAAATCAAAATTGTATTCATTGGAAAACCAGATTTCGCATGACAAAAGAAAAAAAAAACGAATGTTTGGACACAAGACATTTTTCACTTTAACTTAAAGAAATTGCGCCAATGGTTACAGCAGAATAATGTGCTCATGAAGGCAGATAAGTTGAAGGATGTGGTACTTCTTTAACGGGATACTTACAACGAGAAGTTGAATGAGTATATTACAACCACCGAATGCTAACTGGCACCCATCAATTTTTTGGATACTTTACAACAAAGGGTTAAGAGATTCACTTCCACCACTTTAGTGTGTCTTTTGCATATGCAAAATTCCATGGGCCTCGCTCCTAGAACTCCTAGAATATTCGCATTTGCCATGACCCATAAATCAGGAAACCAGATACGTCCAGTGACTGAAAAGTGTAGCTCCCAATGTTCTTGAATGAAAAGCAGCTAGTCAATATTTTCCGGTGTTACGGATCAACAGCATCCATTTTCTATTACCAACTCACTGCAGTTTCTGGAGTATCTCAAGAACATTTCTCTTACAGACAATGAATATATGACAGTGCTGGACTACAAATCCTTATATCCTTCAATAAAATTACCTCCTTGCCCTTGCAAAAGTTTTAAGGGATTTTTTATTTACCAATATAGAAAATGAACCATGTCATCATGCTCATATCCTAGAGCTTGTGCATTTGATTTGTTACACATCTTTCTTTGAGTTTGAAGGAAGGGTATTCTTGCAAGAGAGGCATACCTATGGGTAGTCCCATGTCTGCAATCTTTTGCGAATTAGTATCACATCAACTTGAAAACACCGTCCTACCCGAATTCCAACAACACATTGTTTTGTACGCTGTGGATGACATTTTCATACTGTGGCAAAGAAAGCATAACTTGAAAAGTTTTTTTAAACACAATCAATGATAACCCTTACAACTTAACACTACATGTTGACCAAAAGAGTCATATTAATGTTAACTTCCTTGACATTTCCATCACTTGCAAGCAAGGAGAGATCTGGACTGATATATACTGTAAACCCTCCTTTCAGCTTGTTATTATCCCACATCAATCCGTTGATCCCAAGCACATTAAGTTGCCATCTTTCAGGGCTTGGATTAAGCATGCTTATACACATTGCACAAGCATTTATGACACCGTAAAGGAGTTGCATTATATTCTTAAGATAGCCAAGCAACAAGGATACCAGAGAGGGGAATAGAATGACTTATCACATCCTTCCAAATCACAAGACGTCATTCTCCCAGAAGAGACCAGACGAAAAGAACAGTGTTAATTACATCCCATTTTTAAACAAAATACATAGAAATATTGCTAAAGCTAATAATCTTCAATTGTATACCAATGTTAATCCCACTGTTTTCAAGCTTTTAAGAAACGATAAAACAAAGGAAGATCAAAATTCAAGGACGCACTTATTCATTGCTTTATACGACCAGCATTTCGATTCCAACTTGGTTTATGTGGGTGCAACTACGTGCAATTTAAAACAAAGGCTCAAGGAGCACAGGTATACAATCAATAAGAACCTTGTCAGCACTATACTAGCGACATATGCAAAACAACAGGATGTTAATGTCCAATGGTAAAAGTATATATTATATTTATACTTTTTCAATATTTTGACCTTATTTATGATATTTTTATTTATCTGTATTTAGTCCGCTAGGACATCTGACATCTTCCATTAATTTTTATATTTATTCCGTAGTTATTTTATGTTCTATTTTTCTGTAACTGATGAAGATCATTTAAATTGATTGGAAATGTTTTTATTATATTAAATTTTGCTGGATTGACAAAGGTGTAATTTTTTAACTTATTCTCTATCCAGTATATAGATGGTTATAGGGTTAAAATCATTAAAATAAATAGTTCAGATATTTTCATCATTGCAAAATAATTTCATCAGAAACAAAACAGATTTTTAAATTTATAGCATTCAAATAAAATACTTAAAATAATATTCTATACGATTACTATTTTATTCATAAAAAATTAATAGACACACCACTTATTGGACTGAAATGATATAGTAAATACTTCACTCTAAAGCCTTAAATCACTTTACAGTAACAGTTAATTCAAAACAGTTTTTTCGACTAACATTTTCAATCTTCAATTGGAGATTTTCTTCAGGTCTCAATTCTATATTTGTTGACAGATTGCTTAAATCAAACAGCGATGCTTTTTGAAAAATTTTATATCCCAAGAACCTCGTATTGAAAAATTATTTAAAATTTTTTATAAATCATCACTATTTGATTTAAGCATTCCATCAACAAATATAGAATCAATACCTGAAGATGATTTCCAATTGAAGTTAGTCAAAGAAACATTTCAAAACATTTCTTCTATACATCAACCAAAGCCAAATATTATTGGGCTAGAAACAGCTATAATACTCATAATTTAATAGACAATTTGGCATTAGGTGCCATCTCTTGATGGCATTGTAATAACAATCGATGGTTATATTGTTAGCTTATATATGCTGGAAGAGGAGATCGGACCGAAGGTCTGGGTAACATAATTGGCAACACATCTGCACAGTAAGCAGGAGTTGTGGGTTCGAGTCCTGCTTTGGGCCAATTCTTTTCTTCCAGTAATTCTAAAATTATTATTTAAATTATTTAATTAATTTATAATTATTAAATTTATCAAGAGATGGCACCTAACACCTAACTCTAATGCCAAATTGTCTATTAAATTATTAGTATTATAGCTGTTTCAAGCCTGATAATATTCAGCTTTGGTTGCTGTATAGCTTTAAATGTATCGGGTGTAGTAAGGATGTTTGATTAAAACATTTCTTCGATGTTACAACTAACAATAGATCAAAAAAGTTAGTAAAAAAAACTGTTTCAAATTAACTGTTAGTGGAAAATAATTTAAGGCTTTAGAGTGAAAGTATTTAAAAAATTAATACGTAAAAATAAACTATTATAAACTGTTTACTAAAGATGTTATCTGTTTTCTTCAAAACTAGAATCTCAGTCTGAATAATCAGCAATAAACTATAACATATAAAATTTATATATTCTATTATTTTTTTCAATGACTTTATATCTCATTTGAACACTTTATATTTAAACACATACACTTTGCTGCTTTTTCAGATAACAAAAAAAAGAAGCATTTCTCTTAACCTTAGCACTGTTTGGTCTTCCTTACCATCTTCATGGATACCAAAATCATTGTCAATGAAGAGCAACATGGATTCTAACTATACATACTCAAAAAATTTTAGAGAATAGTGTTAGAATCCTTTTTGATCAAAACAAGTCCATTATTTCAACTGAGACAATTTCATATAATGTTAGATTTGGAAAATTACAGAATTTTTTTTACATTTGTGAAACCTATTGACAAAAGACTAGTTCTCAAAGCTATAAAAATTTTGTTTTGAGATATCATGTTTCTTCCGAAAGCATTTAAATTTGTGGATGTACTTTTACTGTTCTAGAAGTTAATACTAAACAAGTAATGACATAAGTAACATTTTTGAATTGTGTATCAAACTAATTCAATAGAATTACAAATAAATTAGTTTCATAAAACTACTGCAATTTTAATAAACTAAACTAGATAACTATATAAAATATGTTTTACACACATTCTGATCTTTTATTAAAATTTTATATTTCTCAAAGAGAAAACACCAGAAAGATTCAAATGACAAAAATTCAATATGATGATAAATTCTGGAATAAAAACAACCCATCCTTGGATCAATAAAAACACACATCAAACAGTTTTATAACAAATGCATTATTCCAGTTTACATTCTGTCATGAAACTGTTTGATATATATTTGTATTGACATGACAATAGTTTGTTGTTATTTGAAAAGTAATTATCAAATTGAGTGTTTCCAGCTTCTGAAACCTTTTCAGTGATGTGAAATATGGAACTAATATGACCACTGAAAAATTAAAATCTTATTTAACTAACGATGTTATCCCATGCGGTGATATGGGTGTTTCTGCTTATGCTCGGTTTAATATTCTGCATCCGGAATATCCATCTTAGTTCACGTCCACTCCTTTAGCACGGCTCTTACATATGCAAAACTCCATCGTCCGTGCACCAAGAGAACCGAGAATATTTAACTAACAGCTTTCATACATTTTCAATACTAAATTGAGTGATCCTTACAATCATGGAAAATCATTCTATTTTGAAATATTTTTGTTAAATTTAAACTATATTTTAAATTATTTAATTATTCAATAGCTAATAATCTTCAATTGTATACCAATGTTAATCCCACTGTTTTCAAGCTTTTAAGAAACGATAAAACAAAGGAAGATCAAAATTCAAGGACGCACTTATTCATTGCTTTATACGACCAGCATTTCGATTCCAACTTGGTTTATGTGGGTGCAACTACGTGCAATTTAAAACAAAGGCTCAAGGAGCACAGGTATACAATCAATAAGAACCTTGTCAGCACTATACTAGCGACATATGCAAAACAACAGGATGTTAATGTCCAATGGTAAAAGTATATATTATATTTATACTTTTTCAATATTTTGACCTTATTTATGATATTTTTATTTATCTGTATTTAGTCCGCTAGGACATCTGACATCTTCCATTAATTTTTATATTTATTCCGTAGTTATTTTATGTTCTATTTTTCTGTAACTGATGAAGATCATTTAAATTGATTGGAAATGTTTTTATTATATTAAATTTTGCTGGATTGACAAAGGTGTAATTTTTTAACTTATTCTCTATCCAGTATATAGATGGTTATAGGGTTAAAATCATTAAAATAAATAGTTCAGATATTTTCATCATTGCAAAATAATTTCATCAGAAACAAAACAGATTTTTAAATTTATAGCATTCAAATAAAATACTTAAAATAATATTCTATACGATTACTATTTTATTCATAAAAAATTAATAGACACACCACTTATTGGACTGAAATGATATAGTAAATACTTCACTCTAAAGCCTTAAATCACTTTACAGTAACAGTTAATTCAAAACAGTTTTTTCGACTAACATTTTCAATCTTCAATTGGAGATTTTCTTCAGGTCTCAATTCTATATTTGTTGACAGATTGCTTAAATCAAACAGCGATGCTTTTTGAAAAATTTTATATCCCAAGAACCTCGTATTGAAAAATTATTTAAAATTTTTTATAAATCATCACTATTTGATTTAAGCATTCCATCAACAAATATAGAATCAATACCTGAAGATGATTTCCAATTGAAGTTAGTCAAAGAAACATTTCAAAACATTTCTTCTATACATCAACCAAAGCCAAATATTATTGGGCTAGAAACAGCTATAATACTCATAATTTAATAGACAATTTGGCATTAGGTGCCATCTCTTGATGGCATTGTAATAACAATCGATGGTTATATTGTTAGCTTATATATGCTGGAAGAGGAGATCGNTAGTCTTTGTTAGGATTAACATCGACGAAAATTCAACGCGAAGCAACACACAACGGATAAAAATTTCGACATCGGATACGTTAAACTATTTTTTCGTACGTAAATCAGTTATCCGAAATATCAGTTATCCGGACAACCACAGTCCCTAATTGATTCGGAAAATCGACGCTCTACTGTATATATATACTTAAAATGCCAATTATACTTTCTAATAAAAACTACAAATTTAAATAATAAATTGCTCATTGTCATTGTGAATTTTTCTTTAGTTTTTTAATCATAAATTTACCAATATTTTTTTTTATGTACTAAGCACGTTTTA